CTCGTGTCCGGAGTTAGTGGTGTTAGCCAGGACTCCGTTAGCATCATGATGCTACATTGCCGGTACTCCCTCTGTGACCAGGTTAGCGATGTGAGCTCATCCATCTTACTGGGCAAAGATCTTATGTTTCCATTGACTATAGAAGGTAAAGATGGTTTATAACGTCTCCTTCCCGGCACGACACCCCCGTCTTTTCTTCCTCAGCTCGCTGGGAATGTTGAGTCTATCCGCCCGCAGTACCGCTGCGGGACGTAGCGCTAACAGCTGATCCCTACTGTAAACTGATGAACCGATGAACTTAGGTCTAGCAGCGATGAACTTAGGTCTAGCAGCGATGAACTTAGGTCTAGCAGCGATGCCCTCCCTTGTAAACTCATGGAGTTTACAAGGGAGGGCAATTTCTTTTTCCACAAAGGGCTAGGTAAGTTTGGATAACTTTTAATCATTTAAAAACTGTATTTTGCATTTACTTGGGTAGACTTTTGATATAGGATTATAGCTGCTCAATAGTTCTGGATCTGTTTTCCTTTGGATTTTTTTTTAGCTGTGAATGACCTAGACTGCAAGCAGGCCGTTTTAGCACCTGAACTCATACTATCAAACCAAGCTGTTTTCATTGTCAGGGCGTGTGGGTAAACAGGACCCAAATGCAGGACTTTTCCAATCCAAAGCAGTGCATTTACTTGCAGTGACAAAAATGTGACTCATAGGCATGCCAGAACACACGCATACACACACACACAAAGGAGGATGCAGGGAACCGGGAGGGGAGACATAAGCAAAAACACAAAGCACAACAACACACGGCAGGTCGACCGGCAGGGACTGCCGACCATGGCATTAATAGGTGCATTACACAATTTAGCATAGTCTTGCGAAAATATGCAAGCCCTTCCCTGAAAAAGACATCATCTGGATGAGAGCATATGTTACTATGTTGCTCTAAAACCTGTATATCCCTTTCAGAATTGATGGGGCATTTTCAGATGTGCAAGCTGCTAATTTATTAGGTACTTTCTTAGGTACTGCTGCTAATTTCTTAACTACTTAGGTACAGTCTCTCTTGGCTGTTGACGGATGCGGTTGCATCTTTCTCCCTCTCCCATCTTTCCTGCTTGGCTTTAATGTCCTTGTTTAGTCTCGTCTAACTCTAACCCTCAGAAAGCCTCTCTGTCTCGTTCTTGCGCTCTAAAGCCTAAAGTAGAATTATGGATTTGATCAACTGGTCCCTTAATGCAATTGACACTCTCTTCTCGACGAGAAGCCTGGGTTCGGGAGAGCCCAATTGTCCTGGAGGGATGTTTCCTGTTGGATACACGATGGATGGGTGGCAGAAGTGATGCGTCGTGTGCCTAGCGGGACTGTCTATTGAGGATATCTAAGACGTCTACCTATTGGGAACCATGATAACTGGGTTCTTGCTGATTGGAGCTGGCTTGGCCCTGGTTTATCGGAAATTGAAGATAGCGGTTACAGCTGTTCAAAACGCCACAAGGCTAGCTGCTATGATCGAAGCACTGCGACGAGCTATGAGTACTCAGATTGTTCTTATGGAGCGCAATATGGGAAAGATGTCTGAGAAACTCAACAGGCTCTTCAACAGGAAATTGACACGTCTGTGGACCAGTGATGAACATTTTGAAGAACTGTCAAATTCTGATGCAGTCTGTTCGTCCTAAACAACATAACCACCATCATCATGCAGCGATGCTTGTCCCCTGCTGATGCAGATGGCGGGTCGACTGGACCAGCGCAGATATGCTGCAGGACAAGATGCGCTGTCTCACCCCATACCCACCCCTGTTGCTTGTCTTGTGTTTCTATGGTGTATGAAGATCAGTGGTGTGTGATACTGCACATTTTGGTATAGATCCGAGTACCAAGTAAATATGCCCAGTATCGCCTATACCAATACTTTTCAATAAATAAGGTGGATGCGTCATTGAATTGCTAAATCTCAATTAATTTTGATGACCTTAAGTGTTTTTTGTGATGTTTCCTTTTTTATTATTAAATAGTTAAAACCCAGGACATAATTAGGACAAAGTTTATAATTAAATAGAAAATGCTTTAGTATTGTGGCGGTGGGCGGTCTGCGATGCTGCTGCAGGTGAGATGGACTAACCTGCATGGCATCTACAATGCTCTGCTTTTGTTGTTGTTGCTGTTGGTGGTGATGTGTATGGCTGGCAGCAGGAGAGCTGCAGCCGTTAAATGTACTGTTACAGCAACAGTGTGATTATTGTAAGAATAAATGATGCTTCAAAGCATGAAAATGCCATCAGGTCTGCTGTGGTGGTTTACAGTTATAAATTCTTTTTTTTTTTGAGAAATGTTAAAAAGGGCACACAAACCAGTAAACAAATTAAAACAAACGAGTACTGTTTACCTGTACTGTAGTACCTGCTCAGCTGGGTTTCCAAGCGAGCCAAACAGGTACTAAAATATGGCATCGTCAGACTCCACGACACCAATTGCCTGGTCAGTAGTGTCACTCGATGAGTCATGAGAGCGCCTTGTTCAAAAAAACACAATTTTTGAAACTCTGCAATGGGTTTGCCTGAGTGTGACGAAAAGCTACAGACCAAGCGCCAGGTATATATTTGCATCGATGTCCACCTTTGTTGTAGCTATCGTGTCACATATTAATTATGCCGCCGGACACGCAGACACGTTGCTATGATGACAAGCACACAAACAAGGTACTCATGGGATGGAAAACCAGTCGGTCCGAGTCAAGTTGCGTTGATCCGCAGTGGGTTAACCTGAGTAGGTACTAATGGAAAAGGTTTAAGTTTTCCCCCTGTACTGTCTGCCACAAGCCTAAATAAACAACTCTGCTTTTATTTAATTCAATTCAATTCGCTTAAGTTGTCTGCATTCTGGGTCCTCACTTATCATTCTCCAGACAGTCTGTATTATCTGCAAAGCTTGACACTGGCATTCAGGTGGCTCTAACTTGACTATCCCAAATAGACACCAGAGTGATCTTTGAAAGAATAAAAGAAGCAAACAAACAACGGTTTGCTGCCCAAATGAAGGTTAAACCCATTAGGAATAGTAAAACAGGGAATTGTTGTTGCAAAATAACAAAGAGGCCATCACTCTGGTATATTATAGAAGTTTTTAAAGTTGTATAACTGTGCATTAAAAACAGTGGATCAGAAAACATCATGCATATGACCAAGTGCCTAAAAAATTTATAAATCTGTTGAAAAACTTATTTCTGTGCTTATCTTTTCACCTCAGGGTCACTTTAAACTTTGCATTTGACTCGAATTCCGGTTGAATTTGTGTCGTAGCTGAGGATTAGTGCACTCACATGTGTTTGGTCACACAAATACGTACACACAAACAGACACACACATACACAGACGATGTGCTAGCATTCTGGGGTGTCAGATAAGACAGCACAGCTCTGCATTTGACCTAAGTATGTGTGCTGGGGGAGCTGCATGGTGAGTAGCAATGTCCACAACTAATCTGGATTAACTTCTAATCTCATCAACCACTGGGCTGCTCTGCAAATCAACTCAGTTATGGGCACAGGCCTTGGTCCCGGATTGGCCCCGTTTATGGGTTGACTAGGAGTAGCAGTGTAAAGTAGGCCTAGTTGGCTGCAGTGTTGATGCTTGGAAGGAATAAATGCTGCATCTACAATCTGTATGTGTCTAAAAATAGAGAGGCCACTTTTTCACCATTCTTTGATATGTTCTTTGGTTATTTAAAAATGTAGGCTCCTTTCTTAATGCCATCATGGCATTAAGAAAGGAGCCGAAATTACTTAAGAAAGCACTTTAACTTTATAATGTGACTTTTTAACTCTTAAGATTGATAAATAGAGCAGATGTGTTAACAGATGTTACAGATAAAATTAAAACTAAAATGTACCACAACATATCTACACAGCTAAATACTTATAAACTATTTATATAGTATTTATTTTCTTGTGCCGCAGTCAGGTTAATAAATCCACATTCGAATCTTCTCATAATTCATTGTGATAACATTAAATGTCTACCTCCATACTCCCAAGGAGACAAACCATTTTCTACATTGCTATTTTCAAAGAGTTTTGTGAAGAAATAAAACCAACTTCTATGAGCAACAAGGATAGAGAGAAAAAAGATGACCAAGATTACCAAAAACCATACCCACCCTCATAGAATATTTAAATGCACTAAAATGGCTTTCATCTCTCAACACTTTAAAGAAATTTTTGATTTCTTAATTTTCTCATAAAAGCGTTTTCATTAAAGAAACAATGTCCTACTGTCATGATCCTGGGTCCTGTTGACCCAGCGTTTTGTGTTTTCTGTTAGTGATTTTGGTTCTGTTCCTCCTGTTTAGTGTATTCTGTTCTGCCATCTATTCCTGTGTTAAGTCCACGTTTCCTAGTCTGTGTCTTTGCGTGTGTGTGTTTCCTGTTTTATTGTGAAGGTCTGCGTCTCATGTGAGTGTTTTCAGTTGCCTCCCTAGTCTCGTCACGTTAATCACTCCCAGCTGTGTCCCCCACCTGTGTGTAATCTCCCTGTGTTCTCTGAGTGTTTTTAAGTCGTGTCTTCTGTCTTAGTCGTTGCTGGTTCGTCTGTGTTGTTTCCCCTCGGTCTCCCTGCGTCTCTCCATCCATCTCTCTGTGTATATTTTCCCCGGACCTCCCTGCATCTTTGTTCTGGTTTGTTTTGTTAGTTTGCACAGTTTAGGTTCTGTTACAGCTTCACCCGTGCCATTTCTGTTGTATTTACTTTTGTAAATAAATACTCACCTGCACCAGAGCTGCCGCTTCCGGGTCCTAAATAATCACCACACGGCCTGCCCCGGCAGACCGTGACACCTACCTTCATAAATATATTCAATCAAACTTATTGTTAAGTAAAACAAGGAATAAACAATTAATTGGTATTAACTTTGTTGGACTGCAACAATTTGGGTTATCATCCATTGTTATCACTCATTTTGTTTTTTGTTTTGTTTTGTTATGTTTTTTTGTGTCTTTGCAGTTACGGACGAGTATATGCTGCCGACCTTTACAGCCACACACTCTCTCCAGTAACCACATTCAGCATTGGTGCTATGGTAAGACTGACCTACGACACATTTCATTTCGGCAAATTACAAACTATAAACGTGTCTGTTATTTTATTCTTTAAAAATTAAAGAAACATTGAACTGATGAATTTGTTTGGTACAAACGTATTTCTTGCTGACACTTCCCACCAAAACATTGATGCCATTAGGTACAGCAAAAAACAAAAAACCCAAACAAACAAGCACACACACACAAAGAACAAAAAGAACAGCTCAAAGAAATCGTTAAAAAGCCCCAAAACGTATCATGACGTTCATGCCAATCACGCTTACCGCAATGGAAGGTTGTGATCACATTCCCACACAACATCAACTCCTTGTGTACAGAGATTTTTATTACCTGAATTGAATTGAATTGATGTCTAAATATCATATACACTACCAGTCTGGACACACTGTATCATTTAGTCTCTCATTCACTCTTTAGTTTCATGACTATTTACATTGTAGATTCTCACTGAAGGCATCAAAACTATGAATGAACACATGTGGAATTGTGTAGTAAACAAAAAAGTGTGAAATAACTCGAAACATTTTATATTTCAGATTCTTCCAAACAGCCCCCCTTTGCTTTGATTTAGGTCAGGTGACTGTTTAGGTCAGGCCATCTGGTGCTGCACTCCATCACTCTCCTTCTTGGTTAAATAGCTCTTACACAGCCTGGAGGTGTGTTTGGGGTCACTGTCCTGTTGAACAATAAATAATGGCCCAACTAAACGCAAACTGGATGGGATGGCATGTTGCTGCTATTAGGGTGCCTGGGTCGTCAACCCAGAGTTTTCAGTTTAGTTTTTGTTGTGTTTTGTAATAAATCTAAGTTTGAGTTTGCCTTCCACCTCCGTGAGTCTGCATATTGGGTCCTCCTTACCACTAAGTTTGATGCCGAAATGGAGAGGTTGGATAATTTGCTGGACTGCATCTCTCAGGCCGAAAGCTTACAGGCTATGTCTGTGGGACTGAGCACGGTGGAGACAATGATTAAGACCAACCCTCAGCTTCATCAAGTCTCCTTGAACACTAATCTGGGCAGCACCGTAGCAGCTTGGAGGGAGCACGTCAGAGCCAGTGAGCTTGCTATCTCTCTCTCCACGCTGACGTAGCGGCAGCAGTGAAGCTCGCTGTGAAGCAGCTGCGTTTGCCACAGCAGGACGGTATTTCTGCTGGAGGTTCTGGAGAACCGTTGCAGTGTAAAGAGCTGGAGGATTTGCAGCTCGCCTCCTCCCCCTTCCTGGAGTAAACGGCGTTCACGCTGCCGCCACTCCAGAACGACCGAGCACACCCCATTCATGGGAGAAAGTGACTGTTTATGTGTCTCTCTTCCACAGCATGTCTTTCATCCTGTCTTCCTTCTCTCACCCCAACCAATCACAGCAGATGGCCCCGCCCTTCCCTGAGCCTGGTTCTGCCAGAGGTTTCTTCCTGTTAAAAGGGAGTTTTTCCTTCCCACTGTCGCCAAAGTGCTTGCTCATAGGGGGTCATATGATTGTTGGGTTTTTCTCTGTATCTGCCTGAATCGGTTAATTCAGAGACAGTAATTTCTGCACCTCCTATGAACTGTGTCTCAGCCTATGACATTTTACATGCCTCAGCTAGCAAATAGAACTGGCAATAAAGTGCCACCTGACATAAGTAATTTGACTTAGTGTCGCAGCTTATGGATCAAGCAAAGTTTAGTGCTTTACGGCCATTTGTTTAAACCTGCTCCCAATGCCTTTGTGTCAGTCCGAGTTAACATTACACCTCAACAGACTGTTGTTGGTATGGCTTCACCTCTGAACTGAACTGCTCACCAGCCAGTTTATGCTGAGACTGCCGGTGAAAGTACACCTGCTTCTGTAATCATTCCTGAGCAGAAAATTTTTGACTAAGAGTTTTTTAAGCCTGCACCTGTTTATTTAAAATATTTTTTTTCACCTGCTCAGTCATCTGCTCTGCCACCTGTTCAGTTATCTACACTGTCCACAGCTCAGCTGTTAGGTCCGCCTGCAGAAGAGACATTTTCTGTTTCTTCTGGAGGGTCCAAGGGGCCCGTCCAGCTTTCTGTCTCCACTGGAGGGTCAGAGGAGTTGCCCTAGCTGTCTTCTGTTCCTGCCAGAGCCCTGAGGAGCCGCTCCAGCCATCTGTCTCTCTTGGAGGTTTCGCTGGTGGCTCTGGTGAGCCCAGCCATGACCTCCTCGGGTCCGCTGATGCCTCTGGTAAGTCCGGTCAGCCACCATCTGCAGTTTCCATGCCACCTCCAGCAGTTTCCACACTGCCGCCTGCAGTGCCGCCACCAATTCCGTCGCTTGTGGTTACCATGCCGCCATCTGGTCCTGCTTCTTCTGTACCAGAGGTCTCCATGCCATCTGGTCCTGCCTCACCCCGTCCTGTCCGGCCTGCATGTCACTGTCGCCAACCACTTTCAAGGCCATTAGCTGGACATCATTGCTGTCGTGGATGACCTCCTGAACTGCATCGCCGCCGCTGCCTTCTGCGCGACTGGCCTCTGGATCTGCTCTGTCACTGCCGCTGGCTTCGTGGTCGACTAGTAGAACCAAATATCTTAAATTTGGACTCATCAGGCCAAATTTGAGGTCTTTGGTTTGGACTTTTTTTTTGTCCTGGCTTCGTTCTCTCCCCAACCAGTCGTGCCCTCCCTGAGCCTGGTTCTGCCGGAGGTTTCTTCCTGTTAAAAGGGAGTTTTTCCTTCCCACTGTTGCCAAAGTGCTGCTCATAGAGGGTCATATGATTGTTGGGTTTTTCTCTGTATCAATGAAGCGCCTTGAGGCGACTTTTGTTGTGGTTTGGCGCTATATAAATAAAATTAAATTGCAAAGCAAAGATGATCTAATGTCCACTCCTTGTGTTTCTTGTGCCCAAACAAACCTCTTCCTTCCTTAGTCATGGTTTCATAGCAGCTATTTGACCACAAAGGTCTGAACAGCTGATGTGTCTGTTACTTGAACTCTGCGTGGCATTTTTCTGGACTCTAATCTGAGCTGCTGTTGACTTGTGATTTCTGAGGCTGGTGACTCGGATGAATTTATCCTCAGCAGCAGAGGCACTTGGGGACACATTCAAAGTTTTAACAGTTTCCCAGACTGATTGACCTTCAGTTCTTAAAGTAATGATGGATTGTTGTTTCTCTTTACTTAGCTGATTGATTCTTGACATCATATGAATTCTAACAGTTGTCAAACAGGGCTGTCAGCTGTGCACCAACCTGGATTCTGCACAACACAACCCCATTAAGAAGGCAAGAAATTCCACAAATGAACCCTGACAAACACACCTGTGAGGTGAAACCATTTCAAAGGTCCATATGAAGCTCAGTGAGAGACATGTTTAGAGTCATTTATAATTTTTTCTTAGCTACATAATTCAACATATCTTGTTTCACATATTTGATGTCTTCAGTTTGTATCTACAATGTAGAAAGCAGTAAAAATAAAGAAAAACCTTAAATGAGAGGATGCGTCCACACTTTTGACTGGTAGTGTATATTTGGACAGAGACAACTTTAAAATCCCTTCATTTCAGGGGCTCAAAAGTCATTGGACAAATTAAATGAGTGAAAACTTTCAAAAAATGTGAAATGTTTATTTCTAATACTTGGTTGGAAACCAATTACTGGAAATCAGGCCTGAGGTCTTGAACACATGGACATCACCAGATGCTGGTTTTCCTCCTTTTTGATGCTCTGCTTCGCCTTCACTGCAGCGGCTTTCAGTTGCTGTTTGTCTTTGGGTCTTTCTGTCTAAAGTGCATTCTCAGTTGTTTAAGATCAATTGATTGATTTGGCCATTCAAAAATCTCCCATTTCTTTGCTTTATAAACGCCTGCATTGCTATTAAACACCACCCAATCATTTTGACTGCATTTAGCTGGATTTGAGCAGACAGTCTGTCTCAGAACACTTCTGAATTCATTCTGCTGCTTCTGTCCTGTATCACATCATCAATAAACACTAGTTTGCCATTCCCAGTTTCTTTACTTTCATTTTTCCTTTCACTTTCTCATATTATTGTTGACTGTTTGTTTTTTTTTCCGCGTAGCTGCTGGCATGCTCCCCTGACATGCAGTGCATCACTGCGCTTGTTCCAGTCTTTTCATCTAATGGGTTTGCGCTGGAAAACTGATAATGTAATGTTGTAGTTTGTGCAGAAGGCTGTGAGGCTAACAAGTGTTTTTGTGTGTGTTTCAGAATGCATTTGCCCCACTGACAGATGCCAAAACTCGGAGCCATGGTGATGATGTGGGGCTGGTGCTGTCTTCCCTCCAGGCTAGTATATATCGAGGAAGCTACAGTCGCTTTGCACCCTATTAGCAACACCTCCAACCTATACTCAACCATCCAACAGAACAGAAAAAAGTGTGTGTGCATGGAAGTGTGTGAATGTGTGAGAAAATAGAGTGATATTACTGCGGGCTGGGTATTGCAATACATGAAGTTTGTGCATTCAATTCAGTTCAATTCAATTTTATTTATATAGCGCCAAATCACAACAAAAGTCACCTCAAGGTGCTTCATAGATACAGAGAAAAACCCAACAATCATATGACCCCCTATGAGCAGCACTTTGGCGACAGTGGGAAGGAAAAACTCCC